ATAGTTCTTTCTCATTAACCTGACTGATTCCTTTGAAAGGAAGGCTGAGCTGCAGGTTGCCAAAGAATGCACAAACTCTTAGCAGTCTGCATTGTGAATATAGTATAGACATTGGGTAGCAGACCATGTTGGATGAGGCAAAAACATCGTGGACTACTTCTTTGTGACGCTATGAATTTTGTTTTTATTGTTGGAACAGGAAGCAAAGGTCTCCTATTGACTTAGGACTTTGCAGTTTCCTTCAAGTGACCCAGGAGAAATAGGAGTTATGAACTTACTTGATCGGGAATGTTCTTGTCAGCCTTAAGAGAACATGCCAGGATATACTTTGTGAACCCTCATAAAAATGTACCCAGAGAAGGCCAGAAGTCAGAATACCATGCGTTCCAACCTTCGACCTCATCTCCTCAAGGTTATGGTCGCCAAGACCTCACCTTTGAGGTAGGCTAGGAACTCTCCAGAGGGCTAAGGGGCAATGAGGAATTGGATCAGGCAGGAATGAAGCTGGGGCTAAAGGAACAAGCTACGCCACGAAGCTGATCTCTGAGATGATCAGTGGGTAAGCTGGTGTGGCAAAGTGGTTTCAGCATGGTTGTCTCCACCCGGCAGGTAGTACCAGGGAGCTCAGAGCAGGATTCCAGGAATAGAGCCAGGAATGAAGGCAGCTGGCAGTGTCACGAGCCTATGCTCTTTTTGACTCAACACCAGCTGGTACCATTCATGCCACCTTCCATGAATGGCACCAATGCGAAATGAAGTTCTCTGCAACCCAAATAAACAACTAAGCCACTTTTGAATCATTTTCTCAATCAGATCATTTTTTTTTAAAAAAGTCTTGTAGCCTTGTCTTTTCTAAATGCATTATTTTAGTGGTTTGTGGAAAGTATTTATATTCTTGGGCTGTTTTTTGGGTCAAGATAGTAATAGGACTTCTATCTCAGGCAATGTGACAGATGAGATTGCTTGAAAAGCTTATTAACATAACACACTTAAAACTGCTGGGCAAAATATAACAAACATCTTTTGAACTCTTTAGCTGACCAGTGTGTGGAGTGGCAAGGATTGGTAGAAGAAAAATCCCCAAGGATCCCCACCCCAGCACACACACACACACACAAAGAAGGAAAATAAAAAACAGAATTGTCACTGACTGATTCTTCATTTATAATTTTCCTTGGGGAGGACATTGATTGTCTCACAAATAAGAGTTGGAGAGGGCCGGGCGCGGTGGCTCAAGCCTGTAATCCCAGCACTTTGGGAGGCCGAGACCATCCTGGTCAACATGGTGAAACCCCGTCTCTACTAAAAAATATACAAAAAATTAGCTGGGCATGGTGGTGCGTGCCTGTAATCCCAGCTACTCAGGAGGCTGAGGCAGGAGAATTGCCTGAACCCAGGAGGCAGAGGTTGCTGTGAGCCGAGATCGCGCCATTGCACTCCAGGCTGGGTGACAAGAGCGAAACTCCGTCTCAAAAAAAAAAAAGAGTTGGAGAAGTGTCATGGGGCCTACTGGGCAGAGTTGGAACTGAGACCTCACCGTAAAGCTGGACCCTTCAGAGAGCCCCACCTTAGTAAAGGTGTGATTACAACCAATTTGCCCTTCAGCAGTGGGAGACAACTAGGAAGCTAGTCAGCTTCAGTGTGGGGAAAAAAGCCTTTGTCCTGAGAATTCTTAATCTTAGATGAGTCCTCAGGCTGGTCTGAGAAATGCTAAAGCAAGGTGTTACTGTAAAGTTTACTGTTGGGGCCCAGAAAGATGTAAATGTTAAACATCTCTGAGTCGAACATCTTTGACTCCTATAATGGTCAAATTACATAACAATTAGATAAGAAAGATGTTTTAAATAAGTAAAAAAAAAGCTTGTTCATGATAAACCCTCAGAAAACCAGGGAATAGTAGGAAATTGACTCAGTTTAGAGTAAATTGAGGATAACTGTAAGAACCTACAGCCAGTACCATTCTTAAAAGGTGAAATAGAGAATGCATTCCTCTTATGATCAGGGGCAAGTAAGGATGTCAGCTCTTACCCCTTTTAGTCAACTTTGTACATACTAGAGTTTTTGCCAGTGCAATAGAGCAAGAAAAAGAAATAAAAGGTATAAATATTAAAAAGAAAAGAGTAGGTCGGCCTTTATTAGCAGATGACATCATTGCATCCAGAGAAAACCCAAAGGATTTACAAACTACCGGAACTAATAATTCAGCAAGGGCATCAAACACAAGGTCAATATACAAAATCAATACTTCTATATATGTATCAGTTTCCAAGGCCTGCTTTAACAAATCGGCACAAATTTCATGGTGTTTAGAAACACTAACTTACTACCTTACAGTTATTATTTATTTATTAATTTATTTTTTTGAGATGGAGTCTCACTCTGTCACCCAGGCTGGAGTGCAAGGGCGTGATCTTGGCTCACTGCAACCTCCACTTCTGTGGTTCAAGTGATTCTCCTGCCTCAGCCTCCTGATTGGCTGGGATTATAGGTCTGTACCACCATGCCCAGCTAATTTTTGTAATTTTTAGTAGATATGGGGTTTTACTATGTTGGCCAGGCTGGTCTCAAACTTCTGACCTCAAATGATCCTCCCGCCATGGCCTCCCAAAGTGCTAAGATTACAGGTCTGAGCCACTGTGCCTGGTCCCTGTCTTACAGTTCATGAGATCGGAAGTCTGAAAGGGGTCTCGCTGGGCTAAAATCAAGGTGTTAGCAGGGCTGCCTTCATATCTGGAGGCTCTAGGAGAGAATCTCTGTTTTTTGCCGTTTCTAGTTTCTGGAGGCTGTCCCCTTTCATGTTCAAAGGCAGTTCTCACATTATGTGACTCTGATGCTGTGACATTGACTGTGCCTTCTTCCACACTTAAGGACCCTTATGATTACGTTGGGCCCACCCAGATAATGCAGAATAATCTTTCTATATTGAGGTTTATTGATTAGCAACATTAATTCCATCTGCAATTTTAAATCCCCCTTGCCATATAATGTAACATATTGACAGGTCTTGGGGTTAAGACATGGACGTCTTTGAGGTGGGCTTTTTCACTTATTACAATTTACTATGAGGTAGAGAATGAAATTTGAAAATGCTGTATGTAACAGTGTCACAAAATAAAATACCTGTGAATAAATTTAATTTAAAATGTACAAGGCTGCTATGCTGAAAACCAGAAAATATTGTAGAACATTTTTTTTTAAAGATTTAAATTATTAATATTATTCATGGATTGGAAAACTCAGTACTTTATGATGTCACTTCCTGAAAGTATCTGTAGGTTCAATGTAATCCTAATCAAAATCTCGATATGTTTTTTTTCATAGAAATTAGCAAGCCAATTCTAAAATGTATGTTTCAGTGCAAAGGACCCCTAATTGCAAAGACAATTTTGAAATCAGAACTTACTTTACCTGATTTCAAGATTTACTAGAAAGCTACAGCAGTAATTAAGGCAATGCGATAGTGACATAAGGATAGACAAGTAAACAGAGCAAAACACAGTCTTGAGATAGATCCACATACACATGGTCAATTGAATTGTGACAGACGTGCCAATGCAATTCAATGAGGAGAGGGAATATTTTTTTAACCAAAGGCTCTGGAGCAACTGGATAAACATATGGAAAATGGAATTGAAAGCAGGAGAAAGGATTAAAGATAAAATACAAAAAGATGAGGACAGCTTGGCTAGTGTTGGGGGAGTTGGAAGGGCTTGAATGGCAGAATGGAACAAGATTCACTGCGCTTCAGTGGGGCTTCCTCTGCCACTTTTGTAAAGCAATATCCTCCGTTCCCCTCCGCAGCTCTGAGCTGTAGGCTGTGTGCTAAGCAGAACTCTAAGATGGGCCCCAAGATTCCCACCCCCTGGAGTACATGCCTTGTACAATTCTCTCCCCTTGAGTGCGGAGGATTCTGTTAATTTGATGGTATAGTTACTATGGCGATTACCTTCTGTTACTTAAGACTCCATCATAGGTGACTTGGAGAGGGGAGGGTTGGAAGTCAAAGGGCCGTGCTCCACATTGCCTGGAGGAAAACAAACATGCATGTTGTGAAGTGCCTATGGGGTCCACTCTGCAGGGAGCTGCAGGCAGCCTCTAGGAGCTGAGAGAAGTCCTTTGCAGACAGCTGGCAAGTAAACAGGGACCTCCTTCCTACAACCCTAGGCAACGGAATTCTGCCAACAATCTGAATGAGCTTGGAAGGGGACCCCAAACCTCAGATGAGAGCCATAACCCAGCCATCACCTTGACTGTGGCCTTGTGAGAGCTGAGCCGATGATGCAGCTAAGCTGTGCCCACGCTCCTGGCCTATGGAAACTGAGATAATGGATTTCCATCATTTTAAGCCACTGATTTTGTGGTAATTTGTTACCCAGCAATAGAAAATGAATGTAGATGGCAGATCTGTCCCGGCTGCAAATGCCATCCTGCACAGGACCAATTTCGATTTCTCTCTTCATGCATGCCTTAGGAATTAGTCTTCCCAGGACAGACAGCCAAGCTGTTTTGGACATGGTTGAAGTGGATAATACCCACCATCATTGAGGATTTGAAAGGTCCATTTGGGGTGAAAGGAATTAATATTTCTCTGAGTCTTTGACCTATCCCCTTCTGGGATCCTCAATCTAATCAAACATTCCAAGTAGAATAGAAAGCCCAGATCCTTCTCACAGAGTGTACTGAGCTGAGCTTTCAAAACTGGAGTTCAGGGCTGACCTTTGGAGTACTGAAAACCAGGCATTTGCTGTACTGGTCAGACCTGTGGAGGAAACCTGCAGTAAGATGGTACCATGGATACTTGGGAGTTCGTTCATAGCAGATAAATTCTGGTCCGTTGCCAGTGGCCAGTGGGAACCTGATCAGGCCGGACCTTCATGCCTCAGAACCTAGGCACTGTTGAATCTGACAGTTTGGGCATTTTAATATCTGCAGTAAGTTAACCTGGGAAAGCGGGGCGGCTATGCAAAACCGGTTGCATCCTTTTTCTTTCCTCATTGCAGAATCAAAATTACAAGGGCCATGGATTGTCAAAGGGAAAAGAGCGGTGAGTGGTCCTATCCAATCCAACAATCACAGAGCAACCAACTTCCCTCCCTTCCTCCCTCCCTCCCTCTTTTTCTTCCCTCCCTCCCCTTTTCAATCCCTCTCTCCCTTTTCTACTTTAATAATTATAATGAAAATGGTGGTAGTAGTAGTAATCCTAAACCATTATTGAGTACTTACTATGTGCCAGGGTCTGGGCCCGTCACTTTACCTGTATTAGTTCACCGAACCCTGACCACAGCACTTTGAAGTAGATACTATTGTGCCCATTTTACAGATGGAGGAAACTGAAGCTCAAAAAGGCTAAGTGACTTGCTCAAGATCACATGACCAGTTAGGGACAGAGCTTGTTGGACTCCAGGACCCACTGTTTAACTTTGGTCTGTCCTGCCTCCAACAACCCTGTGATGACTTGATGACTTGCATGTCGGCTGTGCTCTGATCATCCGCTTCACTCTGCATCAACAACCGATGCTGAACTCAGCACCCTTTTGGATCTCCTAAAGAGAATCCACTTGCACAAAGCAGGAGTGAGCAATAAAGACTTTATTGAAGATTCCTGTGGGGAGTTAGAGGCGCTCGTTTACATAGCAAATGTTTTAGATAGTCTGTTTTCCAGTTCATTAGATATTTCTCTTTTTCTAAAATTCCTGCTGGCTATACCACCACTGAGGAGGGCATGTGTGATTTGGGACGCTTCTCTCATGCAGCACTCGTCTTCTTTGCCTTCCTTCTCTCCATACTGACTATCCCACCCACTTCAAATCTCTCATTCTCTTATGGAGTGCAACTCAGCAATGTTCCAGATCCTGGCCCTAAACATGTATGCCCAGACTAGCCCCATCCCAACAAAACAAAGAGCACCCCACTTGACAGGCCTGTGTTAGGCTGTTTTTGCATTGCTATAAAGGAATACCTGAGACTTTTTATTTTTATATATTTTTGGAGACAGAGTTTTGCTCTTGTTGCCCAGGCTGGAGTGCAGTGGCATGATCTCAGCTCACTGCAACCTCCGCCTCCCAGGTTCAAGCAATTCTCCTGCCTCAGCTTCCTGAGTAGCTGGAATTACAGGTGTTGCCCACCATGCCCGGCTAATTGAGACTGAGTAGTTTATAAAGAAAAGAGGTGTAATTGGTTCATGGTTCTGCAGGCTGTACAAGCATGGCACCAGCATCTGCTCCGCTTCTGGTGAGGCTTCAGGGAACTTACGATCATGATGGGAGGCAAAGGGGGAGCAGGCACTTCACACGGCAAGAGTTGGAACTAGTGGGAGGTCCCAGGCTCTTTTAAATAACCAGATCTCCCATGAACTGAGCGAAAACTCACTTGTAACCGAGGGGATTTGTCAAACCATTCATGAGGGATGCATTCCCAGGATCTGATCACCCCGCACCAGGCCCCACCTCCAAAACTGAGAATCACATTTTAACTTGAGATTTGGAGGGGACAAACATTCAAACCATATCAAGGCCCCATATACTTATTTTATAAAGGCACACACACACACATTTATCATAAAATATTTTTTATTTATGTGCCTTATTAGGGCACATATAGATATGCATTCCACTACCAGTAAGAGAAAACTCAATAATAGATTAAACAAATTGTATTTATTTTCTTCACATTATAAAAAGTCTGGAGTGCTGGTACAGTGGTTCAGTAATGTCAGAGCCAGCATCTTCATGATTGTTTTTTTTTTTTTTTTCATTTTTTTTGAGATGGGGTCTCACTCTGTTGCCCAAGCTGGAGTGCAGTGATACGGTCATGGCTGCTCACAGCAGCCTTAATCTCCTGGGCTTATGCAGTCCTCCGATCTCAGCCTCCTGAGTAGCTGGGACAACAGGCTCATGCCAGTGTACCTGGCTCATTTTTTAAATTTATTTTTTGTAGTTTTGAGGTCTCACTATGTTGCCCAGGCTGGTCTCCAACACCTGGCCTCAAGTGATCCTCCCCCCTCGGCCTCCCAAAGTGTTGGGATTACAGGCATGAGCCTTCATGATGGTCTTGAACTCTTCCTCATGGAGACCAAATGGCCACTACAGCTCCAGTCTTCATGTCATGATCAAGACAGGAAGAGCGAGGGAAGACTCAAGCCACATCTCTTTCTTTCCTTTTTTGATCAAAAGAGCAAAACTTTCCCAGGAACTTAGCCTGACCAGCAGTCTCATGCTTTTACCTTATTGACTACAATTGTGTTACATGGCCAACCCCAACTGCATGGGTAGCCAGGAATACAAGTTATATAAGTGTCCTTGTACTGCGATTACTATTCTGCACCCTGCTTTTGTCACAAAGCTCGGAATGCATTGTAACTGCTACTGCTGTTTCATTGTGTATTGCTCGTTATTTATCCATCTTCCTGTTGAAAGGCACTTATGAAGTATTGGTTTCACCAGAAGCTGACCCTGAGGGAAGGAAGTGAGAGCAGGTGGTTTATTTAGAAGGTGATTCCAGTGAGCACTGGCAGGGAAATGGGGAAGTAAGACAGCTAAGGAAGGAAACCAGTAAAAGGTGCACCATTGACAGGTTATTGCTATGGGCAAGTGGGCTCAAGCTCCCGGGGAATTCCTGGGAGAACGTAGAACGCACTGTGGTCTTATCCTGAGTGTGAGATGGGAGACTTAGCAGATTTATCCACTGACTCCAGTCGTCACGGGTTGTATGCTGTTGGCAGAGGGGCAGTTCACTCTGGTGCTTCCGATCTGCTCCACGTCCTGGCTGAGCAGACTCCGGGGCCAGGGAAAGCCCTCAGGTAGCGTCGCAGGTGCTGGCAGCGGAAAGCTGTTTGATTCGCATGCACAGGAGTGGTGAATGTCGAAGGGGTATGGGCGGACCACCAACAGTGCTTGCTACAGGTTATTCCTATAAAAAAATGAGCAATTACAGATAAGCATCCTTGCACATGTGTTCCCTGGTAGACATGCAGAGACAAACCCAGGGTATAGAGCTAGGATACATATTCGACTTCACTAAAATAAAAGTCGGTGGCCCTCAACAGTGCATTCCCCCAGCACTTTTATTCCTTTTTATCTCATTTTTGCCAAAACGTGGACCTTTAGCTTTTTGCTGGTCTGATGTGCATGACATTGTCCTTGATCGTTGTAATTTGCCAAATTGCTCTCCAAAGCGGCGTCCAGTGTGCGCTCCATCAGCATTGTAAGATAATTGCCATTTCTCCACATTCTTTTGAACACTTGGTATTTTTCTGATTTTTTTTTTTTTTTTTTTGAGATGCAGTAGTAGCACATTGTTGCCCAGGTTGGAGTGCAGTGGCATGATCTCAGCTCACTGCAACCTCTGCCTCCCAAGTTCAAGCAATTCTCCTGCCTCAGCATCCTGAGTAGCTAGGATTACAGGCGCCACCACCACGCCCACCTAATTTTTTGTATTTTTAGTGAAGATGGGGTTTCACTATGTTGGCCAGTCTGGTTTCGCACTCCTGACCTCGTTATTCACCCATCGTGGCCTCCCAAAGTGCTGGGATTACAGGCGTGAGCCATGACACCTGGTTTAAACTGATACGTTTAAAAAACACTTATTAAATTATTTAAAAAGCAATAAAAGGCCAGGTACTGTGGCTCATGCCTGTAATCCCAGCACTTTGGGAGGCTGAGGTGGAAGGATCATGAGGTCAGAAGTTCGAGACCTTCCTGGCCAACATGGTGAAACTCCATCTCTACCAAAAAATTTAAAAATTAGCTGGGCATGGTGGTGGGCACATATAATCCCAGCTACTCGAGAGGCTCAGGTAGGAAAATCACTTGAATCCAGGAGGCAGAGGTTGCAGTGAGCCGAGATCGCACCACTACACTCTGGCTTGGTGACAGAGGTAGACTCTGTCTCAAATAAATAAATAAAAATAAATAAAATAAAAATAAAAAGCAATAAGATACTCATTACATGGTAGCATAAACTTTTTTTTTTTTTTTTTTTTTTGAGACATGGTCTTACTCTGTCACCAGTGCAGTGGAGTGATCTTGGCTCACTGCAACCTCCACCTCTGGGGTTCAAGTGGTTCTCCTGCCTCAGCCTCCCGAGTAGTTGGAATCACAGACTACCACACCTGGCTCATTTTTGTATTTTTAGTAGAGATGGGGTTTCACCATGTTGGCCAGGCTTGTCTGGAACTCCTGACCTCAAGTGATTTACCCACTTTGTCTTCCCAAAGTGCTGGGATTACAGGTGTGAGCCATGGTGCCTGCCCAACATTTTTTTGAGTTACAGTTACATCCCTCCCTAAAGTGTACCGAGATGAGTAGTAGTTGCTTTACATTTTTGTGAATCTCTTTAACGCCTTGCTTATTAGAAGATATTTGACTTTCCGGATCTTCTGTGTTCAATTTGTTTTGATAGATTGTTTTGGTCAAAGGATAGGAAGAAAATCCAGCCTTACAAAGATAGGTAGTTGGAAAAGGGAACACTTTGTGTACCCCTGAAAGAGAGTTGGGGACCCTGAGGAATATTTGAGCCCACTTGACAACCTATGGCTCTAGGGGATTACAGTACGCATCCTTACCTTATCATAGTCTACCTTGAAGCAAAATCATACCACTTCACGTACAACTAAGAACCCTACGACCACACACTTCTCTTTACTCCCCTCTGATCTTTTGTGCTGTATTTTTGTCATCTATTTACTTGTAAATATGTTATAAACCCTACATTACATTCTCACTATATTTGCTTTAAATAGCTACTTGTATGTTTTTTTTTTTTTTAATTAAGACATGGAAGAAAATATTCCACATTTACCCCATGCGTCATTCCTTCTGAATTTCCATCTGGTACAATTTTCCTTCAGCCCGAGGAATGTTCTTTAGTGTTTCTTATAGTGTGGATCTGTTGGCAAAAAATTCTCTCAGCTTTTATTTATTTGAACATATCTTTAGTTCACTGTCATTTTTTACGTAAAGTTTTACTGGATATAGAATTCTAAGTTGATCTTTTTTTCTTAAAGCACTTAAAAGATAATATTCCTTTGTCTTCAGGCTTACATTG